AAGAGAAGGCAGTGGCTCCATTAGTGAATTGATTGGCTCATTTCCCTGTCAACTGCAGTCCATTTCGGTCTTCTCAGTTTCTGCGTGACTTTTGCGCTGTGCACTGTCCTGTCCATGTGCTGCTGAAATTCCTACAAGAATGTTTTGATGTGGGTATTTTCTAGCTCTATATTGAAGCTAGATCTGTTATGAGGAAATAGGAAATACTTCTTGTGGCAAGGGCCATAGCAAGTTTAGAAAATTAGTGAGATCCAGGTTGAGGTGTCAAGAATTGTACCATAATTATTACACATACAAATGCAAACCTTTCTAAACATTACAAACTTAAAATTAAGCCCAGTTTGGATGGTAATTGTTTCTCATCATTTGTGATTTAATTGCTGTCCAAATCCACATCTCTTTAGTTTACAAAATGGATCAGTTCAAAATTCACTGTTTAAATAATTTCGACCATGATAACCGTTGCATTTCGCTGTAATTAAGGGGTCTCCAACCCTGCTCCTGGAGAGCTACCGTCCGGCCGATTTCAGCTCCAACCCCAATCAAACACACCTGAACCAGCTAATCAAGGTGTTTAGAGCTACTTGATAATTACTTACAGGTGTGTTGGAGCAGGGTTGTCTGCAGGACGGTAGCTCTCCAGGAGCAGGGCTGGAGATCCCTGCTGTAATTTGCATGCATTTTAGATGCACTCTTATTACTTAAATACACTTCCATGGATTCCTGGGTACCCACACCCGCAGAGGTACTGGAGGAATTGGTCAACACCCTCCGGGCCTCTCTCACACCAGTCACTACCCCACAGTCTGCCTCTGTAAGTCCCATGGCCATTCCTGCTTGCTATGCTGGTGGCGCAGCTGAGTGTGTGGAAGATTTTTATTGGTCCTCAGTGCCTACCGGCAGGGTTTGAATCCTCGTATCTGTGCTCAAATGGCCATCTATGACGATACTATGGGGTTAGAGAGCAAAGAGCCACACGCATCTCCCAATGGTTGTCAGCCTGCCAGCCTGACAAAGCCGTCCACCAGCCTGCAGCAGCCACCAGCAGTCCCCCAGTACCAGAACCCATGCACATGGATTCCACCAGACTTACTTGCGCTGAGCGTGCTCGCCACCTAGCGGCTGGACTATGCCTGTACTGCGCCGCTCCAGGCCATTTCATTAAACCTGCCCCGTCAGGTCCCCACGCCCTGCAGTGAGTACTATTCAACTCGAGCCAGTAATCTCAACTTTATCTTTGTTACCAGTACAACTATTCACCACCGATTGTTCTTTTCAGTCTCCGCCCTCGTCGACTCGGGCTCTTCGGGCAATTTCATATCACGAGACCTCCTAAGCGTCTCCGTCTGCCCCGCCAACGTCAGGCCCAAGAGCTCTGAGTCGAGACCATTCAGGGAAAACTGCTAGGGCGTGGGTGGGTCAACTACCAAACCCTGCCGATGAAGCTGAAGATTTGATGTCTGCATGAGGAGACCATCACATTTCTGGTACTGGAGGGATCTACCATCGTCACATCCTGGGATGCCCCTGGCTCACTTACCAGAGGTCAGATGGGAACCCGGTGAGGTAACTTGCTGGAGTGAGTCGTGCTGGCAAAACTGTCTTGGGGAGATCCCTAAACCGCCTGCGTATCTAGTCCGAGCCTAAGTTGCCTCCACCCTAGTCGAAAGTCCAGAACCTCAAGAGACACCTACTGTCCCATCTGACTATGGGGCGTTCCAGGATGTCTTTAGTAAGCAGGCCGCCACCCGCCTTCTAACTCATCGGCCATGGGACTGTGCCATCGACCTGCTGCCTGGGATGAAACTCCCCAAGGGTAGCGCATACCCTCTGTCCATCCCGGAGCGCAAGGCCATGGAGGATTACATCCAGGAGGCTCTCAAACAGGGATTCATCCAACCATCCACTTCACCAGCTGCCTCGAGCTTCTTTTTCGTGGGCAAGAAGGACGGGGGCTTGAGGCCGTGTATTGATTATCGCACGCAGAACTCCCAGACAGTAAAGCTGCCATACCCACTTCCCCTGGTCCCAGCCGCCCTTGAGGAACTCCGTGGAGCCTGCATCTTCTCCAAGTTGGACCTGCGGAGCACGTACAACCTTGTCCGAATCCGGGAAGGTGATGAGTGGAAGACGGCATTCATAACTCCCACAGGCCACTATGAATATCGGGTCATGTCGTATGGCCTAGCTAACTCACCGTCTGTCTTCCAAGGCTTCATGAACGAGGTGTTCCGGGAGTTCCTTCATCGCTTCGTGATAGTCTACATCGATGATATCCTCATATAGTCCCAGAACCTGGCTGTACTTCGCCCCCACATGAAGCAGGTCCTCCAGAGGCTCCGACAACATCACCTTTACCTTAAACTGGAGAAGTGCGAATTCCATCGCTCCACGGTTCAGTTCCTCGGTTACGTCATCAGCCGGAATGGCTGTCGCAGCACTGTGGTGAGCCTCCCAGCCTCCTTCATTATGCTTACTTTTCCAAAAAACTGACCCCAGCGGAGCAGAACTCAGACATCGGCAAATGGGAATTGCTCGCCATCAAATTAGCTCTGGAGGAGTGGCGTCACTGGCTGGAGGGAGCCCACCATCCTTTCACTGTCATCACCGACCATAAAAATCTGCAATATCTCAGAGATGCTAAAAGACTCAAACCACGTCAAGCCAGATGGGCATTGTTCTTTACTCGGTTCCAGTTCACCATCCCTTACTGTCCCGGAAATCGCAACTGCAAAGCCGATGCCCTATCGCGCCTGCACTCTCCCGACAAACCCACTGAAGCGGAACCCATTCTACCTCCAGCTCTGATAGTCAGCCCCATTCAATGGAACATCTCCAAAGACATCCTTGACACCTCTCGCACCGAGCCTGCTCCGCTGGGAGGCTCAGAGGGGAAAACCTATGTCCCAACATCACAACGCCAAACCCTTCTGGGCTCAGTTCACAGAGTACCGGGCTCTGGACACCCAGGCAGCAAACAGACCCTCCAAGCCTGGTACTGGTGGCCCAGTATGCACACCCACTGAACCGGCACTGAGCCTGCTCCACTGGGAGGCCCAAAGGGGAAAACTTATTTCCCAACATCACAACACCAAACCCTTCTGGGCTCAGTTCACAGTGTACCGGGCTCTGGACACCCAGGCAGCAAACAGACCCTCCAAGCCTGGTACTGGTGGCCCAGTATGGCCCGGGATGTCACCAGTTACGTCCGAAGCTGCTCAGTCTGTACCATGTCTCAAACTCCTCGTCATCTTCCCATAAGCAAGCTTGTCCCGCTACCCATACCACGGAGACCCTTAAAAAAAAAAGTTACATTTCATGACTTCAGTCACTTTTGACTGCAAAGGTACTAAGTGTGACCAAAAAATGTAGAGGCCCAAAGGGTTAAATGCATAATTTATGGATGCAAAAAAAACTTTTTTCATAGGTGTGTTCTTGGAATGCTCCAAACAAACGGCCACTGATCCAGATCATGGAACCAGCCGATAATCACTTCGTTATATGTGGTCTCTCAAATTGCAGGTTACATTTTTATTATACAAAAAACACGGGCATGTATGGCAGTATGGTGAATATGAAAAGCTAAGCGGTGGTGATGGTGTCTCAATCTGCACAGGGCTAGAGTACCAACAGTTACAAGGGTGTGTATTATACCAAGTTTGTTTTTAAATAACTGCCCAACAAATTAAAAATGGCAATAGCTAAGTTTCCATCACTCTGTTTTTATGCATATTTTGAAGTATCTCATCAGAAACGACAAATAATTTTTTTTTTTAAATCCCTAATTTTGCAAAAAAGTTTTTATGGTTGCTGAGGTGGTTTTTGACAAAAATAATCAATGCGAGTGATGCGAGATGGAAACACATTTAGTGAATAAAATCCTCCATGCACATCAAAAAAGTCATGTGACTTTGCTCGATGGAATGGCATAACTTGACTAACCAACGGTCCGATCTCATTGTACAGCGTCTGAAATGTTGTTATGGTCATTCTGAAATGTCTGAGTAACGTCTGGTCTAAAAGTGTTTCTGTATAATTGTCTCATAAATTGTGCATGCATGTGCTGATCTCCTTTCAATCTCCTTTTGAATACGTCTCCATATTAAAACTGGTGATTGGTGTCCATGTATCACAAAAAGCAACCTGGTCTAAAAAATAAAGTTATTGCAGTTATTGCGCATTGGGTAGGAAATAGTGCTCCCAAAACATGCCCCTTAAAAAGGCACTATAATGAACACTATAATGAATGCACTATGTGAACAAATGAGAAACTAATATAACCAATATCTTACAAAGTTAAAAGGCAGAAAATGTAAAGGAAACAATGTACTACATAGGGGATATCCAATCCTGCTCTTGGAGGGCCAACATCCTGCAGAGTTTAGTTCCATTACGCTCCAACACACTTTCCTGGAATTTTCTATTGAGTCTGAAGACCTGTGCTCAATTAGGATTAGAGCTAAAATCTGCAGAACAGTGGACCTCCAGGAAGAGGTTTGGACACCCCTGTATTACAGTATAAGCTTTACTCCCTGCATAATCACAGAAAAAAATGGCTTCATGTTTTTTTACGGTGGTTGTGGATGCATCAAACTATAGTTTGTGAAAGAGAGTTTTTATTTTTTATTATTATTTTTTTTTTAGTAGTTTAATGATGATAGGCAGCAGTTTAAGATTCCCTGTCTGACCTTTTGGGCAAAATTGTGCACCATATGGTCTAAATTCTTCTGATCACAGGAAACGAGAAGGAGACTGTGAGTTATCATCGAAATGCTCTTGATGGCTAAGTATGTCCTCCTGCTGTGCCCTTCATTATGTGTGTATGTGTGTGTTTACTGTATTTTATGTTTTTGTCTGCTTCTAATAAATTACTTACTAATGACTTACCGTAGGTCGTAACCATCCCCCTTCTCTTACCTTCCCATCAGACAACAGGCTCTGCTGGCTGCTGTCAGTGAAAAAGATGGCTGCATCAATCTACTAGAACATTCTCCCATGAGAAACATGTCAACCCCTGAGGACGTGATGACCTTGAGAAGAGAGAAGGAAAGGTTTATGAATCACCAAAAACAGCAGGCCAGTTAATGATTTTCTCCATGTGGTTTTATGGTTTTAATGTGAATCCAGCCAGTGTGTGTAACAGTGCTTGCTTACACTCACAATATAATGCATAGATGAAAGCATAAAACTAATAACATGGAATGTACCTTGTATTTCAGGGAAGTAGCCATTATCTGTTTAACACTCCCCATGAGTCAATAATTCTTCAGTGAGAAAAAGACACACAGATGAGAGAATAGTTCACATATAATTATTGTATAAATGTTGTGTAACAACTGGACTGTCACTATCGTATACACATGCAGAATTAAAGAGTATTCTTTGTCAGTATTACACAACAACCAGGAATAGGCAAAACACACATACACGCATCATTGCCTCTAAAATACCAGGATGGCTAATATTTTTTAAAAATAACAATTTTATGATTAAGACAAATCAGTTGATCTGCTCCCATCAGCTAAAACAGCTAAAAACTTAAGCTAAACACTAAAAACAGATTTTAAGATATATTTTGATGGGTTCCTTATGATTCGCTTAAAACTTTTCAAATAATATTGTAAATTCTAAGTCTAAATTCAAACTTTTATATGTAATGGTTCTCACAGTTGGCACCAACCTAATATTGTGAGTTTTGGACACGTCACTTAAGTGTGAAAATGTCGGATGACCCCTCTCCGCTTTTACCTTGGGGTACCAGCTAAGGCATTTCACCTTAACAATAAAATAACAATTAAGGAGAATTTCTGAGACTCTTACTGTATTATCAACACAAGGAAGGCACACGTGTAACAAAATTATTTTTTAAAAATAATCAATAGACAAGTAACAAGTAATATAACTATGAAGTGAATACCACAATGGATAAGAAAATTGCCACGTATGCAAGCCCATGAAAAAGACGAGGATGAGATTACAGGTGTGATCTAACAAATGTTCCCATGTTCAAATTAAAGTTCAGGGGAGTGGAGAAGCTAAGACTGAATATGAGAAAAAGATGGATGGCCAGGCCCGTGTGGCAAGCCTGGACACTGAGGGGAAATCGAGAGCCAGGATGGTGCCAGCAAGGAAGGAAGCCAGAAGGTGGAGCAGAAGAACCCAATGGCAGAGCAGAAGACCACCACAGCAGACCAGATGGGACTGAATACCCCCAAGGTGGAGCAGAAGACCAGCAGAGCAGATGAGCCCCTGGGTTGCATCGGAGACCACTGGAGTTCAAGTGGCTTATAGCAGTGGTTCTCAAACTGGGGTCCACCAGATGGCGCTAGGGAGGACGCATAAAAATTCTAGATTCTAAATTAGAAAATTATTTAAAAAAATTATTTTACCTGTATATAAGTCAGCATTGTCAACCTATGTACATTATCTTGTAAATAAAAAATAGAAAAAATAATAAAGTAATATCAATTATATGCAGCACACTACGCTGAAACGTCACCAAAAACTCAGTTGACGTACTAGTGCACAGAACGGTTAGCCATGAAAACGCTGATAAATGCTAAGACTCTTTAAAATGGATACGTTTTTAGATAGAGGATGCAGTGTCTTAGCTGGGAAGGTTAATACAGGAAAAAAAACTAAACTATAGAATATGGCTTTATGGAATATAGTGATGGCAGACCACAGTGCATGCTGTGCTTGAAGATCTTATCCATTGAAGCGCTGAAACCTTATAACCACAAAAGGATTCACTCTACACAAGGGGGCCTCCTGCTGAAAAAGTTTGAGAACAACTGGCGTAGAGAACTCTAGGAATACTGGCAAACAAGAGGACATCTGGAGTGCCTGCTGATAGCCTGACATCTGTAAGGCTGGTTCTCAGGTGGATGTCTGGAGTGCTGATGGCCTATGGGCAGACATCTCAAAGACCAGATGACACGCTGACTTCTAAGGTGCTGGCTGAGTGTGGCCCTTTTGGCAGGCCGGCTGATCGGAGAGCACCTCGGAGGACCGGCAGAGCTGGTTTTTGGAATTTGGAGGACCAGCAGAGCTGGTTGCGTCTGGTGGGCCATCAGAGCTTAAAGTATCAGGAGGGCCAACTGAGAGATGGGCATCTGGAGTGAAGGCCACAGCAAACCTAGTGAGACAAGACAACAAACAAAGGATTCAAAAGTGTTCCCCATGGTCAGGATAATGGAGCTAGGGATGGCCTTCGTGGCTGGGACGAGGGGACTAGGGACTGCCTCTGTGGCCAAGGCAAGGGAACTTAGGTTGGCCTCCTTGGCCAACAGGTATAACAGGTATAACAGAGGTCGCAGGATATCCAGAGAGTGCAACAATGGAGAAGCAGAAGCGTGTGTGGCCCAAAGTGAAGACGTCATAGGTAATAAGTATGGGTTCACCTGACCCAGATGTGTAGAGACGAATTAACTAGGTAGTGCTGCGACTACTGGGCTTGGGGTTACTAGAACCACTTGGCTTGGCAGAACTGTAGGAACATCTGCCATCAGGTGAAGCAGTGGTGCTGGTTTTCTATGCATGGATATGTTTCCATTTGTGGAGTTCCTTCTAGATTCTTTGCATCAAAAACCACTGGCAATGGAGTGGAAGCCATTTGAGTGGTACTTGCTCCCTGTGGACCCCTGTGTCTGATCAGTCTTTTAAAGGATCCTTACTGCTCACCTCATTTGGGGAAGGATCTAGAAACTCAAGGAAAAAGGTGAGTGCTCTAACACATCCATAATTTGATTGGATGTCAGATGGGCTGTCAAATACCGTATCGTCCCAAGCTCAATGAGACACCAACTGGCATCAGTGAAATGTTAATGACATTCTGCCTTCTCATGCTGGAAAGCAGCCTGCCACAGTTTTTAGTGCTTACGCACCTACCCTTTCGTCAGTAGAATAGGTGAAGAATATATTCACAGAGACACTGGATGAGACCCTAAGGAAGATTAATGAAAGTGACAAAATCTTTCTGCTGGGCTATTGTAACACAAGAGTAGGTGCAAGACATCAGGAAAAAGAGACATGTAACAACTATTAACACACTGTTGATTAGTTCAGTGAAAAATTCACACACGTCTCTGCCCTCCTCAACTATACGCAAGCCTACCTAAAAAATCCTAATAATTTGTATGCCTTACAGCTGCAGAATCAATGGTGGATAACCAAGTTTCAAGACATACAAGAGCCCTACTGAGATCCTGAAAGAAAGATACATTCTCCAGTTCATCAGCCTTGTGTGGCAGCAAAAACAATGGGGAGAGCAATGGAGCCAACAATGGAGAGCAGCAAGTATTATTATAAATTACAGACACAAGGGTGACAGGTCCATCTGTGAAAACAGCATCTATCTTCATCCTCTCTGCATCTCCAGAATCCCAATGTGGATTCAGAGCAGGTTAAAGCACAGTTGAAAGGACATTCACCTCACACCAGGTGGAGGAGAAATGTTGTGAACACAAGAAGCTGTTCATTGTCTTTGTGGGCCTTTACAAGGCCTTTGACACTGTACATTGTGTTTTTTTGTGTGTTTTTTTAAGTTCTCATGTAGTTTGGATATCTTGCAAAGTTAATTTCTACATTGTTGCAATTTCATGATAGAATGATTGTCAGAGTTACTCTAGGTGGAGTGGAATCTGCCCCCTTCACAGTAGGAACAGGTGAGAGGCAGGGAGGTATTCTTGCAACAGTCCTATATATTATCTTTCTACTGTGTATTACAGCACAACTTCAAATTTCTGCACAAGGTAGTAGAAAAACAAAAAACAAAAAGATGCAACATGAAGAAGTGAAATGCATGGTTGTTGTCCACACCGGAGCAAACAACTGTACTGTAGCCAAAGCACAATAAACTAATTTATTCTCATTATATACTCATTATATAATCATTAAACGTGGAGTATATATTCTCATTATATCCTCATTAAACTTTTTCCAAGGCCCACAATTATTACTCTGATCTCATGAGACCAAGTCAAACATTTTGGATCTAACCGCAAATTCGGTGGTACACTTAATGCCAAGAAGAGTCAGAGTACTGAAAGTAATGGAGGACTTATTAAGTACTAGAATATTTTTACATGGTTTAATTTAATTAAGGGCTTGCTTATTTTTGCAGCCTTTCATTCAAACAAAATTGGCTAATTTCACAAAAAGACATGACAAGCTGAACGTGTATTGATGGGCGCCACCACCACGCAAGGAGCTGAAGCGAGCACCGCCGCCTCGGGAGGTTCTGCAGCATGGGCTGCCACCTCTGGAGAAGCTGCAGCGGGCGCCATCGCCTCGGGGAACACGGCAGCGTGCACCACTACCTCG